TTAGTTACAAGTGGCAGAAACAAATCAATCCAACTCCCAATGAATGCAATACAATGGAAAACAACAACAGTTGGGTGATGCAGGTTCTGACAGTTTTATTTTACTTTCAATGTGCATGCTCAGGATGATATAGTAATATTTGTTTAAAAATACCCAAATAAAGTATACTCAGCAGTAAAATAATAGTTGGTAACTGCCTCGAAGGGTGCTCACGTAGCTAGACACAGCTGTTGACGCTCATGGGATTTGGTCATACTTTCTTTGCCATATATCATTATTTTCACTGTTGATTTTAATTATTTTTTATTTTTGCTTTTAAGTATCTTTGTCTCTGATTTTCATTCTGAATGTATGTTTTATTGTGTATTGCCAAGATAACTCAATAGTTGGTGGTATAAGTTCAGTAAATAAATATTTGTATGACTTTGGCTGAATTTAGTATCATTTCTAAATACATGGGTCAGATTGGACTACAAGCATCAACACTTGGCTCTGGTTATATACTGCTGGGCGAAATTGCATTTTAGTGATTTCCATCTGAATGAGATTACACATTTTTGTCTGCAGTGTAGATCTTAGAAACAAATGCAGCTTTGTGCTGAGTTTGTGTTGACAACAGCAGTAACATTTTGTCAAGGAAGTAAGGATCAAACAAAATTTCTGGTGATCAAATCACAACCAACACATATGTTATTTTAAAATGTATAGGAAAGCTGCTGAATGAAGGGACAATATTGTTTCAATTGTAAACTCCAGTACTTCCACCCTGTATTGAATACTTATTTTTCTGTTTTGTCGTCTGCTTTCTTTCTTTCCTTAGCAAAACTTTTGGGGAAGGTGGGAGAAAGCCTTAGCAGGATTTGCTGTGTTCGTCCCCCAATGGAGCGTTTCACCTTTGTGGGTATGTTGTTGAAATGTGATTGTCTGCAGCCAAGTAAAAATTGTGACCTCTGACTGAAATTAGCTTCTTTCCTAGCTCTTCTTTTGGAGATTGTTTGGTGTGTAAATTAACAGAAGAGTCAAATGATTTCTACCAACATGTAGCAGATGATGGACCTCTGGCAATACTTGTCTTGGGACATTCCTAGATTTATCCCCAGGTAGTTCCAGGAGTGCACTGAGCACTGACATGCTGTATGTGAATTACCCTGGATGTATCATAGAAAAATTGGACAAATCGAAACCAGGCCTGAAAATTATTTTTTTATTATCTAATATCACACTTGCTTTCCATTTTGTCAGTCTTCTTTCAGGCTCAAAGATCTTGTTATGCAATTACCAGAGTAAAAGTTTGATATATTCCGGAGTTCAGAAGAATCTCTTAGGGACATACTAGATATGCAGTAGAACCAAGCAGCTGAAGGAAAGGATTCAGCACTTAGGCTTGTCGGCCTCTTTCACATTTGATCTCCTGTCTCATTTCAGCCACTGTTATTATCACTACTTAAAACCATCATTTTAATATAATTGCTTTTAATTACACTCTTTATGAAAGGTGCTCTAAGTACAGTTGTACAAGGGCAGGATAAATGATTGCATAGTAAGAGTTGCTTAGTAAATGTAGTGTCTTTAACTAATAGACAACCTTATCACAGGTGGTCTTGTGAAATACAATTTCAGCGTTTTCTCTTCTTGCTTTCTAGATGAAAATGCTAATTTGGGGACTGTGATGAGATATGAAGAGATTGGTAAGTGAGCATCATCCATAGGCCCATGCAAAAGTGGGCATATTTGCCCAATGAGGGGCAGAAGAGTTGTGGTTACTTTATTGCACAGTTGATGTTGGTTCTGATTGGAAAAATAAAACAGGCATGCAAAGATCAGGATGCATGTAATGTATTGTAGGAGTTTATGGGAGTTGTATCACACATAGCTGGAGCATACCAGATGGGGAAGACTGGAATGGTATCATCTACAAATGTCCTACTTAATTCTGCAAAAGCTCTTGAAAGCTGTGCAATACTTTGAACTGATTCCAAACAGTGTTTTGGAGCATGAAGAGGTGTAAACTTAGCACATGTCTGCAACTTCTTAGCAACAGTTTTATCTCTTCCAGGACTGTGAAATTTTAGGAAAAGATGTAGCTGTTTTGAAGAGTTGTGAACAGTTGCTACATTCATTTCTCTCCCTGTTCCAAACCACCTTTCTGGAATTGAATCCAAATTTTTGTTTGTCTTGCTGTACGCTATGCAGCATCACAGATAAGAAAATGCATATGAGATCAAAAAATCAGCACTGTCCTTCAGACAAGTGCCTAATAATGGGTTGGGATGTGAAAAATCATTCCAAATCTGTTTCATGTGCATTAACACTCATTTTCACTTATAATGGTAGTCTGTCAATTATTCTTGCAATAAGAAACCCCCCATTCATTATCATTGTAATCTTCCCTAATAAAAGGAGTTTTGCATTCCCCTAATGTACACTTTCAAAAAATAACTACCCCAATATATGCTTTTTTTTTTTTTGTACTCAACTTTCCCAACTATGTCCACTTTGGAATACATTTTTTCTAAGTATACTTTTTGTGTGTGTGTGTGTAAATCTATAGAGCGGAACATGACAGAAGCTAGCAGTCCCTTCATTCCTGTCCATAGCAGATTTCACATCTTTAAGATTCTGTATTCTTGATGTTGGATATAATGTTATGGGATCCTACCTGCAAATTCTACAGAGCCCTACCGTTATGGAGCAAAGGGACAGATGGTGGAGCATGGCATAATGGAAATGACTCTTTGATCACATTCCTGAATTCTGTAATCTAAGTCACCTTCAGATGTAAAGCAGAAGGATATTTTCTGCATAGAAAGGGAGCATTTTATGATCCTGCTCCAAATGTCTCTGCTTTTGTGTTCATACAGGCACAGAAAAGTCATTGCAGCAGGCATTATATTGGTACACAAAATTGCCAAAAATGAAGAGAACATTGACATTGCTAAAGGAACATCAGTAATAGATTTCAGTGGTTGGTGAAGTAGATGGATCGACAGACAGATAGATGCTAACACTTCCAGGGTACTTTCATAAGTGCCTGAATATTTCCCAATTTTTTGAACATACACCAGAAAATGATGACAGTCACATTTAAATAACTCTGATATTGCCCTACATTTGGGAACATTTGATTATCCCTTACAGATTATGTATAAAATCTTAATAGCTATAAACAACTATTGCAGTCCTCTAGGATATACTTTGGGAGACCCAGAATGGTAATTCTTCCTGCTTTCCTCTCAAAAGACACCCATTACATTTTTTTTTTGTAATTGAGCATTGGAAAGATGAAGCATGCATGTGTTGAAAATTCCACACAGCTTTTCACAATCACACTGTTAGAGCTGTGCTAATCAAGTCAGGTAAGCTTTAAATAATTATTCTTTGTGCAAAAAATAAAACGCAGAAGGATACCACAGGGGTTATAGAGAGCAGCAAAACATTTCCACAGGGAGTGTCTGGTTAAAAGGCAATTAACATTTTGAGGTAGTTTTTCAGAGAAAAGAATGATAGTTGCAACCAGTTAATCTCTCAAAGCATTTTGTTAGGCAACAGCTTCTTACGTCCGTACATTCGATGCAATGGAGATGCCTTGCTGGATAACCGTTCCCATCCACCCAGCTGTTTCTTTAATGGTGCAGAAAAGAAGAGAGTTCACCCAGTGTCCTACTTTCTGTTTTTATTCTACTAAGGTTATGTACACAAAGGGTAAAGCTGGAATAACTAAAGGCCATTCCATTTGGGACTGTCCATGCTCAGTTGCCCACAGGATTGTTTCCAATGGTTCTGGAAAGTTCTGTATCCCTTTGATATAGAGAGATATGTAAATAATGTAAGTTATTTGTTAGTAGTCATGTCTCCCTATTTCTGCCTGCTTTTGTCCCGATTTTTACCAGTTAACTATATATTTTTTTAATCTTTGCTGATGTTTAATAAATAAACATCATGCTATATTTTTATTAGCTGAACTGAGTGGCATATGTGCTTTCTCTGATCTAGATATAAGGGTTGACTGGAAGCATGCTGGGTGCAAATTAAACTGGAAACTGACCACTCTAATTTTTCCCCAAAAAACGGTTATGGGCTCAGCAAGGACCCAGAACCAGAGCACCTCAAAAGCACCCCGGTCACGAAAACATCCCAATTTATTTCCAGGTGTTTAAGCATACAGGTGAACCAGCACCAGGGATTAACTGGGAGTGTGCTGGGTATAAACTAAGCTGGAAGTTACCCATAGTAATTTTCTGACATGTCTTTCTGCTGAGATACTGCAGTGGGTAACATGTTGCCCTGCAGATCTGTTTGACTCCTATAATGGCCATGCTGGTTGATGAATCCAACGTATCCAGAGGGGATAAAGTTGGGGACACCTGCTGCAGAATCCTGACCTGCGTACAGCACTTTGAAATGGCAAAGAACCTTTCAGAAACCAAATCTTGGTTGTGCTTTCTCTTGGAATACATATTTCAGAAGTGGAGTCAAAGTACCTGTGCTGCCAATCTTATCCTGTGTGAACGGATACATAACATTCTTCCTGTCATAAATGCTAGGAATAGCCAAATTATTCCAAAGCTGTGAGAACCACAGCATCCCTGAAATTCATAAATCAGGAACCATATTTTGTCACAGTGCATTCACTGAACATGTTTGCCCTAGAGGTACTTGGGAGGCACTTCAGTTCTGAAAACAACACGGGAAACTCTGTTTCAGAGCTCTGTCTTTTCAGCTCTTGTTCCTTTTTTAAGCCTTTGAGTCAAGGCAAAGAGATTAGTGGAGAGCGATTATCCAGGGAACATCTGAGTATCTGTATCTTTTCTCTTCAGAGCTCCGAATCTTGCTGCTGTGTGGAAGTGATTTGCTGGAGTCATTCTGTATCCCAGGCCTTTGGAATGAAGCTGATGTGAGTGGATAACAAGATATGGTCAAAGCTGTGGTTTCCTTCCTTCCTTCCTGCCTTCCTTGCCTGCCTTCCTTCCTCACTCTCCATCTTCACGCAGTAGCTAGCATAATATACTTCTGGAGGAGTTTTGTTTACTTTTTGATGGCTTGGGAAATCATAGATTGACAGTCTAATTCCACCTTTCCTGTTCATGACTCCTTCTTTTCTAGTTCTGACAATAATAAAGGGATAACAGCAATTTTAATAGTGGTGTTCAAGAGGAATTCTCTTGTGATCTAAATAAATATGATTTCGTATTTCAGTAGAGTTGTACCATGGCAGATTCATAACAGGATGATAAAGTTGAATCTTAAATCTGATGAAAGGGCACCAGGACTTTAAAAAAGGATGGTTAACAGAAATTGATGTATAGAGGGAAAGAAGAAGAAATAGACTAAAGGTTGATATAATGACTACTTCTGGAGGAAAGTGAAAGCAAAAAGCTTTGGAGAAATATTAGGGAAGTACAGTCTGCCACCTTTCAGATTAACTCAAAAAGGCCAACAAGCATGATGCCTTTTGTCTATGCTGCACAGAAACAGCTAATGGATATCCAAATGTGATTCTGCCATAGCAAATTCTCATTACAGTGAGGAGACTGGATGGAGGTTAAGCCATGAATAGATGAGACCTTAGAAGCATAGATCCTAAACAGTTTAACACAATACAACTTTCAATACATGCAGAAAAACAGAGTTGTCCAAAATTATAAGTTAATTGATGAATATTCATATGAGATCTGAATTTCCAGGAGAAGGAGATGGTTCTCTCCTACTCTGCCCAAAAGGTCTTCCTGCATCTCTAAAATTCCCTTAGCAGTTTGCAGAATCATAGGCAAAATTTTCAATATTTTTTCCCCTTTCCCTCTCTCTTTTTCTTTTGTGATGTGCCTTTATTTTGTAAAACTGAGGGCAGGGCTCTCATATTATCGATCTTTCTATGCTATTTTGAGAGATCGACATTTCCATCCAAAACATGGGGTAGCAATGCCTCAAAGAAGTAAGAAATCCTTGTTTCAGAGAATTTTCTACTCTGTGCGCATTCTTTTTAGGCCCCATTTCCAGAACCCTTCTTTCCTGCAGATGGTTCTTTTTGCACTGTTCTTCCTATGACAGATTGAGCAGCAGGTCTGCTGTGGGAGCTGTAAGACTGCTGAATCCAAGCAAAGAGTTTGAAGGACTTTTCAAGGGCTCCATCTTAAACTACTGCCGTGAAAAGGACAAAGTCACATAATCTTAGCCCTAAATTTAAGGCATGGGGAGGATCTCCATACAAAAGAAAGTTCAGATTGCTGTATGTGTAAGAAAACTCTTTTCTTTCAGTCAGGCTCAGATTGTGAGAGCTTGACGCCAAAATGCAGCTCAAGGGCCTACCCATTCTCCAGATCAGGCTGCAAAGCAAAATGCTAGGCTCAAGTATTATTTCAAAACAGAAGGATGCCTTTGGCTCCCATAGCTTTCTTACCAAATAAATATAATGGAAGTCTGCAAGCAAGTATTGTGTTCCTTCACACACACACACCCAAAAGGGACCTGTATGCTAGGGTTAGAACCAGTTTGGTGTAGTAGTTAAGGCACCAGGCTAGAAACTGGGAGACCACTGAAGACTTAGGCACAAAGCCAGCTGGGTGACCTTGGGCCAGTCACTCTGTGTCAGCCCTAGGAAGAAGACAATGGCAAACCACTTCCTAAAATCTTGCTGAGAAAACTGTAGGGACTCATCCAGGCAGTTGCCAGAACTTACACTGACTTCAAGGCGTACTGTAAGAACCACGGTACTTAGTTCCCAATGAAAGTAACTCTCATTGAAACCAGTGCAGGTTCAAAGGAAAGTTCATTTATTGGAAAGTAGTGAACAGCTCTAGAACATAGCTGGAACTGAGTCCCATGCACGCTAAATCTACCTCACTCCCATTTCACACACACACACACACACACCGTCTTTGAATCTCTCTTGCGCATGTTGAAGATGTTCTCAGGTTCCCACGTTGGTACGACCATGGGCATTCCTGAGAGCCAGATAATGGCCCATCTGCACCTAATGGTTAACATTCCACCCTTCTCTCCTTTCCTCCCTCTCTACAGTAATGGTAGAAACGAAGCAAGCGAACTAGCAGTGCAAGTGATTGTGAGGATTCTGACACGTACATGCGTGCACACACACAAACTAGAGTAGGAGAAAGATTTTTATGGGGCTATAAGAGATGTTGTGGAGCAATCTCACCAGCTGGCCTGCTGATAAATCAGTGTTTTATATTTGGCCCCACTAACCATAGCAGATATTTTGAAATTAGGAAAGATCCCCATTGTTACTATTTGGCAAGCATACCCAGGACACTTTCAAAAGTCCTCAAATTTTGATTTTGAAAACTAAAAAAAAAAAATCATGAGTTTCTGCTCTATCCCTAAACTATTTATTTATTTGCAAATATGCAGCATAGAGATTTACTTTTGAACACCAAGAAGAGAGTCATAACAATAGGATGATACAAAACAACATGACATTAAGTTGTTAATTTGCAGGATTTTTGCTTATAACAAAAACACAGGATTTTATTTTATAGTTTGTTTCCAGAATATATTCAGTTTTGTAGAGCTGATGGCAAAGAATACTTTAACAGGCCTTAGAATTGCAGAGAGACACTTGATAATAGTTGGGGTTGTTCCAAACCCATTGGACTGGAATGAACAGGTGTGGCTTCTGGTGGCAACTAATTCCTTCCCTGTAATGCAGGTCAACAGTAGCTACAGATAAGTTTTTAGGACCACCTGTTCTTCCATATCCTGCATACCCCTTCAGATCAGGCTTTGTGCCAGGTCTCTAGGTAGAATTTAAACCTCCAGTACATGAATCTAAATACCCCACTAATCCTTAGGCTGGTTACATTTGGAGTCACATGTCAAGAGTCTAGACAGCCCTCCCTTTTAAAATATGCTCCACAGATCAGCCTTCCCTAATCTAGTGCTGTCCTGATTCATTAAACCAACTTTAACACACATCAGTGTGGCCAGTGGTGGGGTGGGTGGGTGGATGGGAGGATGGATGGATGGAGACAGACAGACAGACAGAGAATTCTTTTTAGGAAGGTCTTGACTCAGCTTCTGCTGGACTGAAAATCACATTTTGTGTTCTACCTTCAGCTATACTACGGGCTTGAGATTATTCTTGAAATTTTCCATTTTACTTATTAATCTAAATGTAAAGTAGCAAGAATTTGATTAAATGTTCTTATGTATGCATATGCTAGTTCAGCCTTCTCGAAACTGGGTGCTCTCCAGATCTGTGGACTTGAGCTCCCAGATTCTTCAATTAGGGTAATTTCTGAGAATTCCAGAAGATGGAATACACAGGTTGAGAAGCCTCTCAGAGGTAAACCTACAGTATATAAGTGAAAAGGAAAAGGATTCTTCTCCCTTGGCTCTTTTAAGGAGAAAATAATAAATAAATTTCCTGTAAGAAATTATGTACATTTAGCGATTGTAGTCTTTGGACACAGATTTGGACACAGATTACAGAGCCAAGATATCTCTGGCAGTCAGGTGTAAATCAAATCTTTCCTTCTTCTCTTTACCCTTCCTGTTCCCAAAGCAGTGGATGAAGTATAGGAACTAGATTTGGGCTACTATCTCCTATCATACAGTTTGCTTGCATCTATCAGTGCCTGTAACTTTACAGAAGCAAGGCAAATCTCCAGCAAAAAACTTATTTTATCAACTACTAGAAGACTGTTCTTTCCTACTTATCTTCATGATGTATACATTATTCCGTTTCATTAGCCCACTTTCTTTACAGAGTAAAATTTCCAGAATATGCTAAGCTATACCAGACATGACCCCTTGGTTATACTACAGTATTGAGTACTTTCTTTAATTTCTCCCATATACAATAAATTATCCAAGTGATTTTCTTCCTTTGGGAATAGGGAAAAGGAAGTTCTTTTGTAGTAACCTCAACATCTGAACATCTTCCTTGAACATTGATTCATCTGCCTACCATTTACTCAAGTCTCCTCAAAGACTTTTGTAATATAAAAACATTCTCACCAATAGGGCCAATTTTACTGAAAACATGGTTGGTATTCTGGTTTGAAGCAGTTGCCTTCCATTATTGTTTTTTTTCTCCAATCTCTGGAAGCTATATCTTTTGGCCATGATTACTTGCTGCACAGGGAGGCTATTTTAGCTGATCTCAAGGTACATGTACATGCAAATTTATGTTGGATTTCATATGAGTGTAACTATCTTCCAAAGGAAATAATAGAGATGCCTTGATTTCCCCTCAATATTTACAGTTCACAAGGTTCAGCCAAAACTATGTGCTATATTTTTGAAGGCTCTGTGGAAGCCTACAAGAGAAAAAAAATCAGATTAGCAAGAAAATGGATCCAAATATAACCAAGTGCATAGAATACATCTTCACTGGAAGCTAATCACCCCAAAGTAGATTCAGATTTAGAGAAACGTTTCTTTAAATATGTGTTTTCATAAAGGGTATTCATTCTAATTTATACAGATGGAGGTGATAGTGGGGGACTTTGGCATTGTTGTTGTGCCACGAGATGGTGCTGATACCGAGAGAATCATGAACCACTCCTCTATACTTCGCAAATATAAAGTAAGTTTTGTTGTTGCTGCAAAACTGCAGTGATAAATGGATTCTAGTCTGGCACTTCATCCTGCTTTTCCTGCACCTCTCTTCTTTCCCTGGTTGCATACAGTTGCCCATTCCAGGTTTATCTATATAGGGGGCAGGAACTCTGCTAGAATCCTGTCTTCTATGTTGCTGAGGAAGTTGCAGCTAGGAGAGTAGGAGACCTTTGCCTGGAAACAGTCAAGGATATGAATAGCCTTCTTGTCCTGTAATGGTATGTGGGAATGACCTTGGTAGACAGGAAAGAGAGCCACAGACTGGACAACCGTCATGTAAAAGAGATCTCAGTCCACAGAAGGAGGGTATGTGGTGGTGATGGGGGGGGGGGAAGTATTTCAGA